ATATAGTTATTATATATAGTTATTATTATTATATTATTATATAGTACGTCAGTCTCAGTCTTCCTATATGTGCGCGGTCATCTAAATTCGTATTTTTTAACATTTTCTTTTTCCTATTTTTGAATAAAAATGAGGGGAATTTCAATGAAAGGTATAATACTAATGTTTGATACTGAGATACTTTTATATTTCAATTAAATTAACAAAGAAATAAGCGATATCTTACTAAGAAAGCTACGGAGTGGCAGATTGTTGATGTTTTCGGCTTTTCGCAAATCACTGACAACATTTACTACAGAATATGCTTCCCAAAAACAACATAAATACTAGTAAAACTTTTCTGAGTTCAATTCATCCTTATCAGGCTTTCATTCATGTAAAAAAGTAATAGGAAAGAAAATTATGCTGAAAAACGTACGGGTTTGAAATATTACTAATATATGAATATGAAATTTATAAACAAGACTCATAATGCACGTATAAAAGAAACCTTAAAAAGAGCTCTGTGATAGGAAAGCTGGCCAAAAATTAAAGGACAACCAGTGTTAAAGCGTTTCGAAACAAAAAACGAAACAAGAAACTGAAAACATGAGGTGGAAATATATGGAAATAAATCAAAATTAAACAAAATCTGAAATGCGTAGTTGAATTTATGGCGAAAAATGCATATTTACTCACATTTACAGTCGGAAAATGCGGCACTCACATTGAGTAGATGCAAAGAAACACATTCTCAGTAAAAAAAATAATTTTTTTCTATTCTTGTGCTCGCAAAATGATGAAAAACACGAAAATCTGAGGGTTTCGGGAACGTCACTCCCGGTCAAAAACAATAAGAAATATTTGGCCGCGCGAGTTAGGAGACTGAAACTGACGTACAATAGCGCTTCCATCTCCGCCATCCTTGGCTTCACTTTTTGTACCCAAAGTTCTTACTCCAGATATATTTGGAGCTCACTGGCACAGCCCTCCCACGCAAGTCATTCCACGTGTAAGTTGTATGTTGCAATAACACACTTGTGCGCACATCATCTCGCGTGGAGGCCGCGCATACTTTCGGTAAAAACCGACTGTTCCCGAGAAAAATGGTCTCCCCAAGTTGCCTTTACTTAAATCCTTCACAACTCTCATCCTGGTCGGTCTTTGGTGGGTATCACACAGCGGATGAATCGCGCCATTCGCCCTCCACATCATCATAGCCGTATCAAATAGCGAACGATCGACCTAGTTCAGGGCAAAAGAATTCACAGCATTTAGGGTTGTTCTTGTTGCAAACCATTCGTAGAGATTGCGGTCGCAGGCACTCCATGTAAGCACACCATTGCTGTGTTTTCTTGGGCAATATCTGTTCGATGTGCGATATTTATTTTCATGCTTTCCTTTGTTTTTTCGGGCGAACATGTTCAGGTTCGTCCTATATATATAAATATATATATATATATATATATATATATATATATATATATATATATATATATATATATATATATATATATATATATATATATAATATATATATACATATTACATATATATATATATATATATATATATATATATATATATATATATATATAATATATATATATATATATATATATATATATATATATATTATATATATATATATATATATATATATATATATATATATATATATATATATATATATATATATATACATATATATATATATATATATATATATATATATATATATACACCCATTTGCAAAAACGTTGGCCGCAGATATATAGATAGATAGATACTCGAAGTCTAATTAGAATTGCATATGAATACATTTGCATGGGATTTCAATCATATTACACAACATATGCAATTCTAATTAGATTTCAGGTATCTATCTATATATCTATATGCGGCCAACGTTTTTGCAAACGGGTGTATATATATATTTATATACAGGGTGTATCAAAAAAAAGGTAATCCAACTTCAACACGCTATTGTACGTGAACTACTCAGTCTATGAACGAATTTTTTTCACTTTCGGAAAGATCAGGATTTTAACTATCGGATGACATGTTTTTAATACGAAATGGTGAAAAAGTGAGCACATACGAGGCTGATAAAAAATGTTAGTCGCAATCGCATATTTTCACCTTTGAGCCTAATTAAAGCAGTGCATAACAAAAGAAAAGAGCAATTAATCACGAACATGTCACAGCTTACACTGGTTTTATGCCGCATTGCTTGGAATGTTCTCCTGATGTGATTTATTCCTACTTAATATGCATATGCGGTTAGTTTATTCAAAAGCAAAATTCTTCAATTAATCCCAAAGAGAGTTAATTTTCAATGGTTTTAGTCCCAACTCTCAGAGGTGAAAATATGCGATTTTGACTAACACTTTTTATCGGCCTCCTATTTGCTCATTTTTTCACCATTTGGTATCAAAAACATGTTATTCGATAGTTAAAAGCCTAAACTTTTGGAATGTGAAAAAAATTCGTTAATAGAATGAGTAGTTCACGTACAATAGCGCACCAAAGTTGGATTACCTTTTTTTTGATACACCCTGTATATATATATATATATATATATATATATATATATATATATATATATATATATATATATATATATATATATATATATATATATATATATATTATATATATATATATATATATATATATATATATATATATATATATATATATATATATATATATATATATATATATATATATATATATATATATATATATATATATATATAGGCAAAAATGTTCTCCGTGTTTACCATACTTACCCTTGACGGGCATATTCAAAACCTAAGAATGTAAATTTGTCCCTTTCCCTCACCAGCTCACTCATTACGAGTGCCTAGGCCTTGGGACCCTAGGAGGCGGTTTAAAAGGAGAAAGGAACACACACACAACCCAAGCCATACGTCCATCCAAAGCGTTAATCAGCTGAATGTGAGAGATCGATTTTACGTATTTATCAGTGCGAATGTACATTCTTAACATATCAAATGTCCAAGTGCCACACAACTCATCTCATCGTCGTCATGAACATTCTTACAATGCAGGAAATAAGTATAGTTAAAAATACGTAGGTATCCGCGCCAAGTACTTTTGGTTATTAGGAACCTACGCCTACAATACTCTGTAGGATTTCTATATTGTTGAACATGATTTGCTCCAATAATAATATTATAATAGTATGAGAAGCTACAAGCAGGACAACATATCACTAATGCTTACCATGATCAATTCCACTTTAGCTACATACAATAATATTCCTTCCCCTCACCGATTTCTCATTCCAGGCTTGGGACTGGACAACGGCTGGTTTAAAAGGAGGAAGGAAACCAACACACGAACACAAAAGAGATTTTATTCATGATATGAAGATGTGATGCTATTGTATTATATTACCAATGTGGGATTATTACTAACACGCATTCACGTGTTATTCACATGAGCGGGACAATCAGTCGCGAGCTGTCATACAAAATTTACTATAACGAGAGTGCACAAGCCTAAAGCCTGGCGCACACTAGAGCTATCACCTTCGCAAAGTTTCACTCGTGACTGTTGGCGTAAGCAAGTTCCCCTAGTGTGCGGTGCCGTTTTGACACCTTTTCGTCACTCGCGCCATCAGCGCCGATTATTCAACATGTTGAATAATTTTTGGCACGAATGCATGACTGTTTCCTCCATGTGTGCGCGCGTGAAAAGCTAACAGCTTGCAATACGAGGAAAATACGCATGCGTGTTCGCCTTCAAAATGGCTGCTATTTGTGAAGACTCGTCCTCTTCCTCTTCAGAAGATGAAGAAATTTTGCTCTTTCTTTTACTTTTGCGACGCAGACGGAGGCGCTTGAGGGCCGCCAATAGGAATATCTGGACGAAACGTTGGATCGAACGTCGTCAAATGAAAGGAGCATGTGAGAATATTGTTCGCGAATTGCGCTTTGAAGACCCTGAACATTTTAGGCATTATCACAGGCTGGATTCAGCATCGTTTGAAGAAATTTTGACCATGGTTTCGCCACTGATTCAAAAGAAGGACACAAAAATGCGATGTGCTTTAAAACCGAGGGAAAGATTATCTGTAACATTACGATTTTTAGCAACAGGTACGTGAAAATTATGTGATTTGCCCTTTGAATATGGCTATTTCATTTATGATGCTATTTATATACATTATGGATAATATGCTTATCTTACTGTATTTTATTAGGTGAGACTTTCAGAAGTCTTTCGTTTCAGTATCGGATTGGCGAAAGGACCATTTCAGGAATTGTTGAGGAAACATGCCAAGCATTGTACTTAATAATGAAAAGGAATTATTTGAAGGTAATTAATTATCACCAATTTTTATTTAAATATATACTATCAATTGTGCAATTGTTCCAATTTTTCAAAACAAACATAGTCAGTACAGACAAATAAAATAAAAAAAGTTTTTGAATTGTTACTTTTGTTAATAGAATGTCCCCCTAAGTTTTAAGTCTAATTCTGATTTGGCCATCCAACTGCCGAAGTCACTCCATCTGGTTTTGAAATAAAATTCTGTTCAGCATATGATGATGAAGGTTGAGGGCTTGAACTTGTCATGCCAGTTTGAATTATTGGATGGAAAAAATTTCTGTGTTGTTGCATCATCATTGGTGGTTGAGAATTTTGGACTAATAGGCCAGCTTGGGCTTCAAAAATAATGTTGTTTATTTTGTTCTGTGCCAAATGACATGTTCTGGGATCCAACTCTGACAATGCCTTAGTTACATACATGCCAAAAGTTTCTAGCATGCTAGTTTCCCTTTTCCCCTCTGTCATTTTCTGTTTTTTTTGCTTTTCTGCAATAGAGGTGGATAGATTTTTTATTAATTGGTACTCCTCATCAGCTTGCCTCTTTCGAGAAGTGCTTTTTCTCGGTTTCACGGGCTCAGAGGTTGACCTTGTCACTTCCATTATTTCATCCTCCTCTTCATTTATGGGACTTGTTTGCTCAGGTGTTTGACCATAATCTTCAAAACTATTTTCACCAGCCTCACTGAAACTTGAATCTAACGGTGAATTGTCATGAGATACCTATATAAATCAACATAATATTTATATCCTAGACTCCAAACACTCAAGAAGAATGGTCACACATAGCATTGGATTTTAAAAACAAGTGGAACTACCCGTGTTGCATAGGAGCAATAGATGGCAAACATATAGCAGTTCAACAACCCAATGGCACTGGCTCCGAGTTCTTTAATTACAAGCACTTCTTTAGTGTTATTCTGCTAGCATTGGTTGATGCCAACTATAAATTTATTTATGTTGATGTTGGGGCAGCTGGACGAGCTGGGGATGCTGGAGTGTTTGGTGATTCTGCCTTAAAAGAAGCATTAATTTCCAACTCCTTAAATATACCCCCTGCAACTACCATCAGAGGAATATCTACAAAAGTTGATTATCACATTGTCGCTGATGATGCTTTTCCCATGACAACTCAAATGATGAAGCCTTACCCACATCGAAATTTGGAAAAAGAAAAACGCATTTTCAACTATAGATTATCAAGAGCTCGCAGAGTTGTTGAGAATGCATTTGGGATTCTGGCCCATAGATGGAGGGTTTTTTTGACAACCATAAAGGTCTCACCAGACAAGGTGACTGATATAATATTAGCAGCTTGTTGTCTGCACAACTATATGGTAGACAAGAATAAAGTCAACTACACAGCAGCTGGAGACTTTGAGAGTGCAGACCATACATTGTCACCTGGAACATGGAGAAATGATCCAATCTTAAATGGTTTACAACCAACCCCCATGCACAATCCACCAAGAAATGCAAAACATCAGAGGGAAGTTTTAACTCAGTATTTTAACAATAGTGGTTCCGTTCCATGGCAAGACAATATAATTAGGTTGTAAAGTTATCTGATGTAAAATAATATTTTAGGTGTCCATTATACATATGTAATATTTTGTTATTAGTAAAATAAAAATGGGTGGTAGCTTTAACATCACCCGTATATATTATAAAGGGCATACTTACAGAGTCTAGACTTGAAACAGAAGGCCTAATGGCCACATGAGGAGCAAGGAACTGTAACTTATCCAACAACCATGTCGTTCTTTTTGTTGGGTTTCTTCTCGCACTTCCACTCGGTCCCGGTTTTTTCGCTTTCACGTAGCTGTTTCGCAGGGCCTTTAACTTTGCTTTAACCCATTCAACTGGGGGAATGAAATGTTTTATATATTATGGTTCGTAATATCAAATGCGACAGTCTGATTAATATAAAAATTAGGAGGGGATAGTGTAGGCATTTATGATTTCACTTACCAGTTTGTCCAAGTTTTTCTGCGATTTCTTTAAATGAATGTTCAAGCAATTCTCTGTTTTTAAAGTCCGGACATCTAACGTCATACAAACAGGGATATTCAGGCCAGATATCCGCGATTTGGTCTTCTAACATTGCTTCTGCAACCACACTATTCGTCGCCATTTTGAATGTGAAGGCGAACACGCATGCGTATTTTCCTCGTATTGCAAGCTGTTAGCTTTTCACGCGCGCACACATGGAGGAAACAGTCATTCGTGCCAAAAATTATTCAACATGTTGAATAATCGGCGCTGATGGCGCGAGTGACGAAAAGGTGTCAAAACGGCACCGCACACTAGGGGAACTTGCTTACGCCAACAGTCACGAGTGAAACTTTGCGAAGGTGATAGCTCTAGTGTGCGCCAGGCTTAAGCGTGCGTAATATCAAAATTTAGAAAGGTTGTTATAGCAAATCAAGAGTGCACAAGCCGAAGCGTGCTTTATTTAAATTTACTGAGATAGTATGAGGAGCTACAAGCAGGACAACATATCACTATTGCTTACCATGATCAATTCCACTTTAGCTACATACAATAATATTCCTTCCCCTCACCGATTTCTCATTCCAGGCTTGGGACTGGACAACGGCTGGTTTAAAAGGAGGAAGGAAACCAACACACGAACAAAAAAGAGATTTTATTCATGATATGAAGATGTGATGCTATTGTATTATATTACCAATGTGGGATTATTACTAACACGCATTCACGTGTTATTCACATGAGCGGGACAATCAGTCGCGAGCTGTCATACAAAATTTACTATAACGAGAGTGCACAAGCCTAAGCGTGCGTAATATCAAAATTTAGAAAGGTTGTTATAGCAAATCAAGAGTGCACAAGCCGAAGCGTGCTTTATTTAAATTTACTGAGATAGTATGAGGAGCTACAAGCAGGACAACATATCACTATTGCTTACATATTTACTATTGCTTGTAGCTCCTCATACCTATCTCAGTAAATTTAAATAAAGCACGCTTCGGCTTGTGCACTCTTGATTTGCTATAAAAACCTTTCTAAATTTTGATATATATATATATATTATATATATATATATATATATAATATATATATATATATATATATATATTATATATATATATATATATAATATATATATATATATTATATATATATATGCATAAACGCGTTTCGCAAAAGAAAGATGGACACATATCTGGGATGAAAGTCAAACATTTACAAACAAACGCTTTTTTCGAATGATTTGGTGCGCGTTGACAAACGTTATGAAATCATGGATGTTCTTGTCTTGATAGCATAAAAATTGATGATGCATGGAAACAATTTGGCGCTCGTGTATTCGCTATAGACATATTGACACATGTTAAGATAAAATATGAATTAAAGTATAAACTAACGGTGGGAAGCATCGCACAACATATACATAGAAAACGAACTTTTAAAAAAAAAGTCCTAATGCTATGGAAAGAAACATACTATTAAAATGTTGACGTACTAAATGTGACTTGACAAATAAAATATTTTTCTCGCAAATCCTTACTGTCTACTTAATTACCATTTAGTTACGTCACACTCTCACCCTGCGTGGAGACCACGCATATCTTCGGCAAAATCAGCCTCTGAATACTAATTACCCCAGTGAACTCTATATATATGGAAGGCTCGCTCCAGTTCAAAGTGTGAAGCCAAACATGGCGGATCATGAAGGCTGCTTGGATACCGAACCTGCCTCCACGAAGCGTACAATGCGCGCGTGGAAATTCAAAACACGAATTATAAAACTTGACGAAAAATAAAAAAACTCACATTTCGGACGTTACAAAGTTTTTAAAAAACGATATTTTTAATAATGAATACATAAAATTTGTTACAACCTTACCTGGCAATGTTATTCTTTCTAAGAGGTAATTTATGCCGTATATTTGTGTTGTGTAACTTGTGTTAACAAAACTGACCAAGTTCAACTCCTACACGTTGCCGCCATATTGAATTTTGACCGCTCGTGCGTGGAGGTCTGGTTCGGTACCCAAGCAGCCCTCATGATCCGCCATGTTTGGCTTCACTTTTAGATTACGCAATGTACTAGAGCGAGCCTTCCATATATAGAGAGTTCACTGAAGTACCCCTTAGTTCTACCCTTTGAATACTAATTACTTCCGTTATTGTATGGGGGGGTACCTACTCAGAGGATCTTTATTCACGTCGCCACTGGCGAAGATCACAATACTTGGCCGATCAGTTTTGGATACGTTGGAAACGAGAATACCTTCAAGAACAGCAGAAGAGAACGAAATGGAACGATAAACAGCCAAATAATTATAAGAAAAGGAGATATCGTCATCACGAGCGATCAAAGTCCACGTAACCAATGGCCCTCGAAAGAGTCGTTGAAGCGATACCAAGCGAAGACGGAAAAGTGAGAAAGGCAAAAATCGTTATCTCAAAGAATGGAGAGAGAAAAGTCTATCACAGACCAGTTAGCGAACTCGTTACTTTAATGTATACCCAATAATCGAATGTTTTATACGTTTTACCATTGTAGCAAGGATGTTTTACCATCCTTGGGCGAGGAGTGTTATGTACTTGATGTAAGAACTCTTTTTTTAACTCGCCTCAGGCCCTCTTAGGATATAAAAAGAGCAATTTTCGTCTTGGCAGCCTTTTTTGTATGGTCGGAGCTGGAGCTAACAACTAAACTTATATATCGGAGTGGAGTAAAGCCATAGATTTTTAAAATTTCACCTTGGCTTTGTACGAACGAATAAAATGTTATTCTTATTTCGTGTTCTTCTCAGTTGACACTTTGCCCCACGTTGGGACGCAACACCCGGTATTTAAATAATTTACCAACTATAATAGTTTTATACACAGCGCTTGTTTTTTATGCTCAGTTTGTGATTCAAATAATTATTCAAATATAGCTGGAATGTAGTCACAACAAATACATTATAGTTAAGCTGTGTATTTGCGCCGTAGCCATAAAAGCAAAAGCTGCAGCTTCATCGTCTTGTTTCGACAACGAAGGACAACCACCAGTTAACGTGTCTCTCTTCTCCATCGCCAGTTGTTTTTTGTTGCGGGACTTTGAATCCTTGTTTGTGACACCAGACTGGAAATTGAATTGATCGGATGAAGCTTCCCTTCTTTTTTTTCGCTTGCTTGCTTTGTTATCGTTCTTTTTACTTCCTAAAAGACCTTTGTGTTTCCGCACTTATTCGGTCGAGAGCGACCTTTCATTTCCGAGGAATGTTGTCTATCTTAAGGCATCTTATGAATAACGTCTTACGAACGCATTGACAAGTCTAACTACAGTTTAAATAGTTTATATACCTTCAATGATTAATTACTGATCAACATGAAACCTTAAGCCCCCGTACAGACAAGTTTTATTTGCTTGTGTGGTACGCGAAAAAAATGACAAGTTTTCCTTGACAAGAAGCCTTTTTCAAAAGCTAGTCATGCCAGCTTTATAAGTAGCAGACTGCGCAACAATATCTTGGACCAAATTGAGCGGTTTTTGGAAGTTTTATCATTTTTGTTTGTTTTGAGATTCGGCCCTATACTCATTGTATCATATGGTCGTAAATATACTCGACATAATACATTATCATATACTTGTCAAGAAAAACTTGTTCGCCATACACAGGAGCAAGTGAACTGGTCAAGAATCTTTTGTGAAGGAAAACTTACCCGTCTTTACGGGGCAAGCAAGTCGCATTCGAGTGAGCCATTGAATAGAAAGCTGCCTAACATTTTCAAGGATGAGTGTCGCCACATTGAGTGACCATTCACACACATACACTCCACTCTATAACTTACACTTCAATGCACACCCCACTCTCACTCACACTTCAAGTGTTCCACGCGTGTGCAGGCTCACTGGAATCGCACTCAAGTGTGAGTGTGAGTGTGAGTGAGCTTTTACAATACAGGCGTAACATGCGGTTTACAATCTGGAGCGTTTTTCCAACGCCTCTATTTCATTTTTCTATGTAAAAGTCTCAGGAAGTTTCTGACAATACGAGGGCGATCAGAATACAATTATGGGGTCTTCTATTCTGGTATTTATCGCAAAAACTTTCGTTCGTGCACCTTCATCCCTTAGGATTGACGACATTAGAAATAGTGGTGTAAAATCGCAATTCCGCTGCACAGTACTATATCAGCGTATAATATGTATTTAACTCTGCATGCTGATCTCAAGCACGTCTTGGGACTTGGATAGAAAGATTTCCATTCCTAATACATATTTACACTTTATCCAAATGATTGCAAATGGGTGTCACCCTAACTTATTTCTTCTTTGTGCGGCCCGGGAAGGGGGAAGGTGATGAACCATAAGGCTTGAGAAGAGGGCGAACAGCTTAAGGAGTGCGCAGGAGGTGTGCTGGGAAAGGAAAAAGAAGGGCAGCGAATGAAGGATGGCGGAAATTGAAAGCACAAAGCATGACGTAAAAGAAGAAAGAGACAGGATGCGAGGTTGCCTCGAATCAGTTTATGTTTCCCCTAGTCGAGTAGATGCAGTTCACTATCCGGGTGAAGTCGGACCTTTATTAGGAAAGGAATTATTTATACTAATTTGTGAGACAAAATGTGATTAATAAATCTCGTTTATTTATGCAATCAAAGCTATAACAAGAGCATAAAGACAAATAAATATATAATTATTTTGTCTGGGAGACCTCGTTTATATATATTCAGCAATTGCATCAATAGCTTTAGCTATGCCCGTTAAGCCACACTTCGACAACCACTCGTTACACGACACTGCAAGAAATTCATAAATTGATTGTTTAACATGACTTAATCCGTAAGACTCCCCAAAAAGTTCAAAAATCTAATGAGTAATGAAGGAGCGTTTTCTTTCAATTTCATTAGCAAGCCGTGGGTAGCACGCCAACTCGTATGATACTCTCAAAATTCTTACGAATAAAACAGATCGCAAACAAATACTATACCCCTTGAAAGATAGCTTTACAAGTACAATCCCCCTGAACACAAGATGTTTTCCAACACATTTCACAATGGTATTTCGAGAAACATAAATTGACACAACCTTTACAAAGTGCTTCGAAATCTTCAGCAAGGAGATATAAAAAATAGTATAAGATTAAAAGAAAGGGACGGGCCCT